AAGACTCTAACGCATAAAGTGGCCGTCGGCGTCATCGGAATCAACATCAGTGATACAAAAATCATCGCCGTCATGTAATGACGCGGCAATACGACGTATCATGACGTTACTAGGGATCGCCAAAATGTGACCTCATCGTTAGGTCACATAACGTGGCAGTCACGCGACGGCGTCGACACACGACCAAGTCAGATGCTGAAATGTGGGCCTAACCCAGAGGCCATGCCATAAGCCCTTGAAGCGTAGAAAGGTTGTAATGCCTGTGATCACGAAGGCAATGGAAATCTACGTAAGGTGCATAAAATAGAACCGGTTCAGGAGAAAACGATGGGCTTTCGGCTTCGAGTCGTTTTAGGAACGCGTGAATTTTCGGCTACATTGTCACGAAGCATCCACGTGCGTAGCTCTAAACGTTGTCATTTAACGCGAGGTATAATTTATAAGGAATGTAAATCATTAGATCTCTAGTTTTATTTCCCTGTGAATATCTCTGTGTACACAACGCGATGGAGGAGAAAATGACTGATAACCCGTGTGCTTAGTAACGTATATGTCATTTATCATTTGAGATTTCTTATTGGTACGAATACAAGAATGTGACATGTGTTTAGTATACAAAACTGGGCGAGTTCACTCGTAGTAATAGGAAGCAGCAACCAACGCAAAACCACACGTATAGACAGCGAAGAAGAACTACCACACAGAACCAGCGCTGGTTGCTTCTTCCTGTTAATGTGTGCTTAGATCTATATAGTGCACGTTAAAGAACCTCAGGTAGTCGAAATTTCCGAAGCCCTCAACTACGGCGTCTCTCATATTCATATCGTGGTTTTGGGGTGTATAACTACAACAATTGTTATAATTCTTAGTATTACTATGTACACAGTGAGTATTTAACAGGCCTGTTTTTTCGGGTTTGGTGACTTTATTGCTTCGACCACGCACTCGAAATGATTTGACTATCCATTCAGTGTCCACCAGTTGCGCTAACTGTTCTAACACAGTTGTCACAAAACGAGCGCTCAAAAGGGACGCGCCGCGAAATTCTTGCGATAACGCGCGGGAGAGACGCCGCGAGGTCAACGGAAAAAAAAGAGAAAACAAGCATCCAAGGACTCCCCGGGCGCGCGACCCTCCCCTCTCGGAACCGTAGGTTCGCCAACGAACCTCCTCACCCCACAACGGCGGCCGAGCAAGCACTCGAATGTTCTAGATGGAAAGGGGCGGGGTGATGCGGGTTGAGTCATCCGTCGCGGACGGCATTCGAACCATCTCGCTCGCTCCCCAGCCTTCGCTGCGTATCGCGCCGACGAAATGACGAGAACTTTCTGGAATCTCGGGCGGAAGGTATTTAATGTAGCAGCCGAGGTGAGAGATAAGGAGAAGACGGAAGTTAGCGCCAGAGCGCGTAGGGATTCCGCCGTGTAGTCGGCGAAGGTTTTGTCCGTAGAGACAAAGCAGGAGAAGAAGATGATTTCCACTTGAGGGGTGACGACTCGAGCTACAGGCAAGAGTGTGTGTTTACCGCTATCGAGCGAAGACGCGTGGCAACAGCTGCGTGTGTGAGGCCGACGTGTTTCCGGCGAAGAAGTTTGAAGCTTGGTGAGTGGCCAATTAAAGACGCGAGGTTTCCTGGAAGAGAAACTTCGGCGAGGTTTCCTGGAAGAGAAACTTCGGGGGCCAAGTGAAGACGCGAGGTTTCCTGGAAGAGAAACTTCGGGGGCAGCCGAACGACAACGACGCTGTACTTTGAGTGAGTGATTCTCGGAAGAGTATCATCCAGACTTTTGTTCCAAGAACTTTGGACTGAATAGGTTTTCTATCTCTTTAGTCTTTAAGTGTCTTGCTTGTTCAATGCATGCGACTGCATTGTAGTGCGTATTGTTGTCTGTGTCCATTGTTTCGAGTGTGGCTGATTGTACTGTGTAGTACGTTGTTTAATTGGTGACATATTGTACTCAACTATTGTGGAGTGTGCATACTTGTGTACTGTTTTGATCTGCCATTATTGAGAATATAATTTTGTTTTGTTTATCAACTCTCGGCTTTGACTTGTTCTTTGGGCCACAGCCGGCGTCCGCTGGTGCACCAAAAAGGACCTCTTCTAAATTGTCCACGCTTTCGTGGTGCGATTCTGGGGGGGGGCGATACCTCGGCCCTTGGAATTAGCCCGGCGATCGCCTCCCTAATTAACGGGACCTTGTGACAACAGTTCGAAGGGACTTCCATACGCATCTGTACGGACACGCTGTACTCCGCTGCATTGGTGCGATGATGGTGTTTTGATGATTCGCATGAATGAGTTCATATTACGTTCATATTACGCTAGTGTACAGCACAGACTGTTCAAAGGGCTTTCCCCGCGCAAGATGATGAAATAGAGGCTCGCTTGCTGAGTAGTTTAAATGGGAAATCGGTTCGTTATAGATGGCGAGAAAAGGTGTTAAAAACAACAAAAGAAAAGAGATGCAACTGTGACAACAATTTCAACTGAGTTGCATCACTGACACGATAACGGTGTTCAAAGGATATTTTTAAGGTTATACAACCTCGAAAACCATCAGCACATAATATGAAAACGAAGTAGAAAGTTAGCTCATCTTCCTTCTGCATATGCGCATGCCGACATGGATTTGCCACTCGCTCGGAACATGTTGCACTTTTTTCTTGTTCACACTTCTCGCTATCTGCTGTTTTTTTTTTCCCAACAATGGAAATAAACGAAGTCGACATTGAGCATGTTTGTATTGCTTCTGGTAGCGCGTTTTACGATTGCACCACCTTTAATGCGCGGAAGGTGCGAAAAAGGCTGCAATTTATGAACCACGGCAGCACTATGCCCGGTACATTCGTGTTTTACTGGAAACGGTATATAGTTGCAGCAGACACAATGCGCCTTGCACTTCTATTTCCGCGAGGCTTTTTTTTTTGTGAAGCAGCGCTATTACGAGGAAGGGGTAGGAAGCTAACGGAAAGGGATCGCTCGATATATTATACAAACTGCAACAACATACACGCTCTGGGAGTGTGGGGAACATGGGGAAGGAGAAATGCGTAGAAGCTATTCAGAGGCCAAAATACGGTATACTATACAATGCACTCGGAAACAAAGGCAACGTAGAAGGGGGAGTTGGAAGCGTAAGAGAGTGACTGATAGAGAGAGAGAGAGAGATGGGAAGAACGTAGGAATTGTCCAAATCAGTAACTATTGTGACTACTGGTTAATGCGTAATGCCTCTCCCAACCATGGAGAAAGGTGTAGAAAAATAGAACGGAGCCTCACGTGGCGATTTTGGATTCCACTCATAAAAAAAAGTCAAGGAAGAAATCAGGCCCACTCACGTAGCAGACAAGCGTTTTTATGGGTCGGCTCGCTTTGGTTGCGTCTGCTGCGTGAGCCTAATCTTACCCAGCAGGCACCGCGGACTGGTTGGGAGAGGCGGTGTCAGAGGAGGTTGGCTTGCAGAGGCTGGCAGAAAAACATAAAAGTGTCTGCTAGTTAATAATTTAGTTAGTGTGTTTGTTTCCTACGTATATCGCCTAAAGAAACAGTGATTTAGGCTGCAGCTGCCCTTGCAGGCGTATTGTCATCGAACGAAGTGATTTCTCAATCGGAGCATTCATACTGAAGCCGGTGTTTTAACGGGGGACAACACTCGTTTGTGCGCGCAGTACGGGGATAGATACTGCAGTCGCTCAAAATTCAATCGTCTTCGCTGCTAACGTCGCATGCCGCATCGCTGGAAATTGCCGAAAAAGGTCGAGAGGGCGGGCACTGTCTTCAGAACTTCAGCGGTGTCTTCCTAACCAGCAGAGCGGACGATTTACGAAGCCGACAGGCCAACAAAATTAACGACCTGCTCCGATACCGATCTTTATTCGGAACAGGCCATAACGCAAATGAGAGCAATCGTATCTCGATACAATCGACGGTACGAAAGAATAGCTCGGGCTGCGTCCTGTGTCTTACGAAACAGTGACAAATTAAAGAAAAATGAAGAAGGAAAAGACGATAGTTGGCTTCACTGCTGCGCGTTGTGTTGCAACAGAAGAGTACGAATAAAGTTATACGGTGAAGCAACCCGGCAGTGAGTAATGACTGGCGCACGCAGTAACGCCGAGACCTAGTTCGACGTATCGAGCGAAGGATAAGAGCCCGACGATGTTCCGCGCGTGTACTGCTATATACTTTGTGCATGCGCTTAACAAGCGGCACGACAATACGCGCGCGACGTGCCACTTAGCGACGGTGTGACAGATTGATTCGTGACGCCGTATAATCGATACCGCGAACATGAGATGCGCAGACCCGGCTTGTCGTCCGTATACTTCGCTCTGCCGTTTGGAAACAAATGACACCTTGTAAGCTCACCCCAAGGCACGCGTAGCTATTTATATTATTTCCTGTGCTACGTGGAAATTATTGGTCCTGGCACGGCTATAGTTTTCCGCACGACTGGGAGTCAAACTGAAGCGATCGCGTTGTATAAATGACAGCATTGCTAATAGTTACGCTATGATTTCGACCTAGTTTCTTTTTTTTTCTACATAATGAGATATGTTCGGCCCAGCGAAATTTGTTAGCTTTCTGAAAGGTCGCGTATGGTTTAGGTACGGATATTAATATTGAGTTGCGCATTCCAGTGAACATCCTAACAGCAGTCTTGGTGATTTGAACGCAAGTACATCGATGATTGCGCAAGAGAAAGATAGCGATATCGTCAATAACTGAATGGAAATTTATGCCGCGTGTTCTGCTTCGAGAATACGGGGTTCAACGCGTGACAGCACGCCATATTTCTGTACGTCTACGTTAAGTTTCCGCCTGCTCGCGCTAAGGTGTTAGGAAATTATAGGACACGATCCAACTTGACGTCAGACCAAACGGCTCTGCCTCCTATAAAGCTCATGCATGACGCACCGTAGCGCTAATTTTCGCATTTCGCATTTCACGCTCTATTTTTCCCGCCTCGCAACGTCAAAGGTGTCGAGCTCTCAAACTACACAACAACTTCGCTTTCAGACAACTTGAAAGCGTCGTGAGTGGTTAACGTGTTGGTGTCACACCCTTTCCAACAGAGGGTGTCAAAAAGGTTGAGCACCAGCTGTCCCTGCTGCTCCTGCACACGAAAAAACACCGTGACTGACGGTAAAATTTATGTAGTGAGACTAATTTACTTGCACGTCAACTGTCAAGAGTAATTTTCTTTTTTTATCAGCAGCTTCGCTGCGTTTTCTTCAACATCCTTCAAAATTTTCAGCCAGAACGAATCATAGCAAATCTTTCAGGCAACCAGTTAGCCACAATAATGTCCACAAGTTTGATCTATGTCCTGACACAATTACTTGTTGGAATAAGTTGTCCGAGGAAGTTGTAATCTCTGGGACGTAGGCTTCATTCACAGAATATATTGTAAATACTACTTTTTCTTTATGTATGTGGCCTGTATTTATGTGTGTATATGTATGTGTGTATATATGTATATGCATAAATGTGTATGTGTGTATATACTGTTTAGTGCTGTCTTTCGACTGGTTAATTTGCTATGTATTATTTTTTAGCTGTGCCATGATATACTGTGCATTTGTATTTCTTCTCTGTTTATATTATTTGTAGTCACTCCTGCATGGGCCCGAGAAGGGCCTGCAGTATTGATAGATAAATAAATAAATAAATAAATAAATAAAATGTTTAAATAAATAAACTTCCTCAGCGTCATGTCGGGCATTGTTGTAGAAGCTACACGAAGATGCGGACTTTAAATAATCATGGAAAATAAAAAAATCACACTTTCTCCACTAGGGCGAAGCACTGAATGCGAGATCAACAAACTGTAGTGTTATACGAAGTAACGCTAGCCTCTAACTCTTTCGGATTACATCTAGTATAACTCTACAAAACAGTGGTATAGGGAAACGCGGCCGCTACAGAAAGATACGCGGTTATAATGAGGTCGTCGACTCAAACAAAAGTGGCGACAGCATAGAACGTAGTAGGGTGTACGAGCCGTTTGCTGATGTCTGCCACTTTCGCTAACATCAGATTGTCTCTAACATTCAGTCGCTAACATTCAGATTGAGCCGTGGGCCTGAGTCGGAGCGAGTAAGACTGAGTATGTTTTTTGGTGAGCTTGAGTCCTAGTGAATCCTAGCGAGAAAAATTTTAGCGAGCGAGTATGGTCGAGGAAAATTTCGGCGAGTCTAATTGCGAGTGAGTCCCAAGACCAAGATGTATTTCCAGCGAGTCTTAGTGAGCTCTACAATTTTCGGCAACCTATAGTTTTTCTCATTTATTTATTTTTTAATTGCCGTTCTCTTTGCAGATTCCCCACGTACCTGCAGTAACATAGAGGCTCTAGTACTTTGTTAACGTCTTTGCCTTCTTCTGCATCGTTCTCTCTCTTGTCCTTGACACTCGACAACTCTGCAGCTTTTACAACAATCACTACTTTAGTGCATACGACTCTTGCAGGAATTCCATTGCAGATATACAACACACGCTAAGGGCTTTCGCCAGCGTGCAATGGCGAATGTACCCATCTAAGTATTCTCTCATTTCTTTCTTTTTCGCGTATATTTCGCAGAAACGACAATCAGCGCATAATCGACGTCGAAAGTTATTTTCCGGCTCCCTTTCCATGCAGCTCAACAACACGTCGCCTGCCGTTCTTCCCAAGGCCCTCTCGGCACGCTTTAGTTTCTTTTGTTTTTGTTTCCAAAAAAAATCACCGTTATGTGTCATCGCCAATACATTCAAGAGGGCTCGAGTGGAAAGTACCGCACTCTGTTTTCTTTTCGTGTTCCTTTTCAGCAGCTGTTACACTTCCGCACACACTGCGCGCACACTTACAGCGACGAGTTGGCCCCGTGGCGCCATTAAGAAAATTGGATTTCGCTCGGGGCGCTCTCGCACGGCTGCCGACAGTTTCTCGTCACGTCTTTCAGAAGGTGAAGCAAAGATCGCGACGCCCATGACGACAACGTTCTGAAACCGTAGAGGCCCGTGCTGCACGTTCGGGAAAAACACTGATATCGGCCCATCGGCCTTATATACTTTAAGTTGTTTCTTCTCTTGGTTTGGAAGTGGATGTCCCATATACACACGTTAAGCGAATCGCTTCGGTTCTCCACAGTTTCATCGAACTAGAACGGAGAGTTGTAAGTGGACGGTCGTTTTGCGTGCGTACCTTAACGTTTCGCGCGCTTATGCTGTGACGCAAGCAAAACGATGTCGGGAAGCATACTGCGTGTGTTGTGAAGGACGGCCTGCCGTGGTGTAGCTATATATGGCAGTGAATGCACGTCTTTCAATACTGCGGAGCTCGGCGTGATGGGTTTGATAACTAGCCCCGTGTATATGCGTATTACAAGCAGGTAAGCCTGTCCGAATCTGTTGGCGTGTCTGCACGTTCTTGTGAGTGTACCGTACTCTCAAAATTAAACCTGACTCCTGTGAATTGGTTTCATTATTCAACCGTCTCCACTTTGCGTGCAATCATCGCAGTTCCGACCTGTAGGTTGAAGTGTAAGTCCGCATTGCTTTAACTGCCAGTTTTTGTAGCAGAGCGAAATGACCCTTTCGAGTTCCTAACTTTAAATTGAAAATGTCGAGTTTTCGTCTCTGAAGTTACCTTGACAGATCCTGTTTGGTAGGGAACGGTACGTGCTTGGCTTTCACGGTCTCAGTCGCACTTGTCTGGAGCGACCAGTCAGCCACTTCGGCCGCCGTTTTTTCTCTCTTGTTTCTTCTGCAAAATTTATGACGAGAAAGCTGACGCAATAAACCAAAAATAGTCGTACCAGCGCTGAGTCTTTGTGATGCAAAAACGGAAACATTTAGCTAACAGATTGCTTGATTGATATGAGGGCTTTAACGTCCCAAAACCACCATATGATTATGAGAGACGCCGTAGTGGAGGGCTCCGGCCATTTCGACCACTTGGGGTTCTTTAACGTGCACCCAAATCTGAGCACACGGGCCCACTACATTTCCGCCTCCACCGTAAATGCAGCCGTTGCAGCCGGGATTCGATACCGTGACCTGCGGGTCAGTAGTCGAGTACCTTATCTACTAAACCACCCCGGCGGGGCCATTTAGCTAACGGATAGAGGCAGCTGCGGAAGGCGCCATGCATTCTCAACCACACGCTCGGCACTTGCAGAAAAAGTTTGATCGAAGCTGTAGTAATTCCCGCATAAGACGTCAGTTTATTCTGAGCCAATCACTGTACCTGTTTACGTCGGTTGGGCAAGTATGAAGTCTTCTTCTGCTGCTGCGGTGGTCGACAGTTAGAGCTATAACGCACTAAATAATGCTATTTCGCGCGAACACGTTTTAGTAGACCACACTGAGTTCAGACATGCATATGTCAGATGAGAAGATGTCGAAACAGAGCTGATAAACTGATCTGCACGCAGCGGTGACTGAGCTTAAAAGCACGAATTGTTATAAACAACCGTCGGCATTCGCCCTAGAACGAATATCAATCAGCTAAAGCTGTATGCAATAGCACGAGGGTGTTTTCGGAACCTCGCTTCGCATACGGCGTGTTCAACTCGGGTATTAAGCTACACTCCGCGCGCAAGCACTGCTCTTGGGGCTTAATAAACTCTAATCTCTCTGGCTTACTTGTACTGTCGCGACACGTGTGACTACATAGCGACCAAATAAGTAAAGCTGGGCTGCAGTGACACCCATCGGCGCTTTTCATAACTGAGCTTGCTCAGCTTTAGAGCGGCAGGGATGAAAGCTCGACGAGGGATTAAAATGTAATCGCCACCATTCTCGGCGTGCTTGCGTGTGGATCATATAGAGTATAGCAGTCATCAAAGGCATACGCGAATTTGATGTCAGTTTAAGCCCGCTTTGATGCGTAAGTGTATAGCCTCCACGCGTGAACGTGCTTAGCACCTGCGCACGTTCGCGTGCATTTGTTTGTCGCACAGTTTTATGTAAAAAGAAAAAAAAGCAAGCGGGAAGAGTTACGTTTCAGTTTTGATTGCGCCCACAGAGTTTGCCTAATTTAACTATAGAGCAGACTCTGGCGCTGCGATCCGTCAGCGACCATGGAAATGATGAGAAATACACATACTTGCCTAATCTTTATGTCTGCCTGCTTCGAACGTACTTGTGGCTTTGTTTATTGTTGCGTTTTTCTTTTCTTTCGAATAAAAGAACAAACCGTCGTGCAATTCGCGACCCGACTTGAACCGGTGAGCCTAGTAAGGTTAAGGTGGCGGAATGCAATCGCTCAACGTTTGCCGATCGTCGTATCGTGACAAAGCAGCTCAAATGCACGCGAAGTAAAACGGAGCCTACAGTACGAATGTTAGACAAATTCGTCTACTAACCATCATTTCCATGCTCGCCGAAGCGCTCTCCGTTGCAGCCCCCATATACACTAGCGCCAGAGTTTCCTCTACTGTATTTATAGAAAACTATATGATTGCACCCAAATGAGCCGGAACGAAGCTCGAAGTCATTCCAATGTTTAGGCTTCCATTCACAACTATTACTCATACATAAAAAAAGACAAACGAGGTCTTGAAGCTATTGCACTCCGTGCCCATGCCTTGCAAGATTGTCAAGCGACTGTGCCTCTGCAGTCGCTCGAGTTTCTATCCTATTTCTATCCTTGTTTCTTTGCTTACGTAGTTACACTGTAACTACTTTTAAGTTTCGCTGTTCGTATATTCAGTTATGCCCTACCAACTTGGCCAAGTTTCCACGCTTCATACTATGACAACCCCGCCTTTCATGGACACGCAAGTAAGCGATGACTCTCGAGTTAACGCTTTCATAACATTGCAACGCACCCGTAATTGAAATGTGTAATTATTTAGTGGCCACGCCGGCGTCACGAATATGGTGATGAGTGGGACCTTCTTTCCTGCTTTTGTGTTCTGGCAGACTATGCTTTGTGTCAGCGGATCCTTTTGAAGTTTGATATGTTTTGCCGCATAACACAACTACGCAACGACGGAGCTGACTTACATTTCCCCTTTTTCATGAGATGGTAGTAAAGCTCTTCCTGCACTTGACATGTGCATGGGAACATACTTTTTAAGGCTAGCATACTCGAAAAGAAAATGTAGTTAGAAACAGTTTGAATGAGAGTGCAGACCCCTCAACTCATTGAAAAGCTGTTCAGATCGAATCGACTTGGCACTTAAGTTTGACCAATCTTCACCAGGGAGAAATAAGAATGACTACCAGTTGGGCATGTTGGTGTAAGTTCATGATGATGGTCCTTTGAGATGATTTACATGCGTATGATGCTTATATAAGTGTTGGTACTGAAATAAAATTTTCAGTTGCCAGTAAGCACTCGTCCTGTGTCCTTTCGGAGTGTTTGTACATTTTGGGGCTTGTTTCATCAAGAAATAAGAAGCACTGATTTCACACTGCCTATTGTATGAATTTATGTGAACCCCGCCCCCTTTCTCTCACTGCAAGCGGTCCTTCACAACTTCTGCCAGTCCACAGGGAGTTCTCGAAACAGCGGTGGCTGAGACCCAATAATTTAATAATAATAATTGCTGTGTTTAACGTTTCAAAAACCACCATATGATTACGAGAGACGCCAAAGTGGAGGGCTCCGGAAATTTCGACCACCCAGGGTTATTTATCGTGTGTTATATCTAGGCACACGTGCCTCAAGAGTTTTTGCCCCTACCGAAAATGCAGCCACTGCGGCCGGGATTCAATCACGCAACCTGCGGGTCAACAGCCGAGTGCCATAGCCTTCCAGACCGCCGTGGCCCGTGACCCACAGACTTAACGCATCACCCAGTCTACAGCATACCTTCGCCTCCAAGCGTTGCAGAGAGTGAAGCGTTCTGTCGGACATATAACCTTACAAAAAAAAAAAGGAAGTGACGAATTATGGTTACACAGATGTTAACCGGTCGATAAACAGCCTTTCTATAGAAACGTTGCGCCGACTTGCGTGCTCGAATCTGCGTGGGCAGCCAATGTAATGAAGGTTTAGCACGAGTTAGCAACGGAGCAAAACCATGCAAACCTCTAGCTGCTTCTACCTTATCAGCGCGGAGTGCTCATCGAGTTGTCCCACATTGCCCGAAGTCTGCGCAGCTGACTTGCGTGCTCCAATGTATAGAGTCGAGCACGCAAGTCACGCAGGTGCGCGGGGTCGATCACGCAGTTAAAATGTTCGCGATATTTTTTGTTTACATTTATTTATGTTTCCCAGCTATCTGAGAGGCTAGCTTAAGGTTTTTAAAACAGTCGGCGTTGACGCTGCCCGCATTCCTTTCCACGTTTCTTTAAAAGCAAAAATCAGTGAAAACGACCCTGCCACCCATTCATTTGTGTCAATTTGCACAACGTCACATTCAGTCAGCTCAGCAGCCTTCAGAAATTGTAGCACACTTTCACTGCTTTTCGCAACTGCAATGCGTCGTCCGCATGGTTTTCACGACAAGCACAAAACTGTTACTATACGTCGGCGTCAACAACAGTGTCCGCTCTCATATCTTTTATCCTTTATCTATCTCTTCCTCTCTTCCAGGGCAAGGTAGCCTACCGGGCTCAGCCCTGGTTAACATCTCTGCCTTCCTTTTATCATTCGTATCACTGATGAGCCATCCGCTAATTCCTGTCAAAATAGAGCGCGTGAGCGATCGATCGCACCTGCGTACTTGGAATCAAAGCTCACATTTGCTGCTCATCCTCCCTCCCCTTTCCTCCGCGTCCTTTCACGCCCGTTCAAGATGAGCGGAGCGTTTTCTCTATGCCTGAGCAGCATTTGATGGTAGGCCTCGCACGAGATGATGTATTCACATGCGCCATCCGAGCGACGCAGATGCCCCGACTCGTTTAATCTCTGCTTCGGCCGCGTTTACGGGCCCCGCACACGCGTTTCTACCTCATGGGTAGAACCTGTGGTGCGCGTTGGGGATGTTATTGATTCGGACTTTATACGGGCAATGACGGCGACGGCGACGCCAACAGCGAAGGCACATCGATAGTGTCCTTATAACTGCTATAAAAATAAAAACAAAGGGAATGTCACGCAACACGGCTCACCCGTGATGAGTGCCTCAGCCTGCTCCTCTGCGGAGGCGCTTCATCGGGCACCGACAGGCGGTCGGGCGACGGGGGCGGCTGGTGCGAGGGCGAGGACTGGGACGGCTGCGACTGCAGCGACTGCGGCTGACCGGAGGCGTCCGACGGGCTGCTGCCTCCGCTCGGCTCGTCGTCGCGACGGCTCATGCCGCTCTCCAGGCAGTCGATCTGCGTCAGGCTCTTGCTCCGGTGAGCCTGTGTGTGTTGGAAGAAAAAAAAAGAAAACTTATATTATACTTGAATCCCCGTGGAAGAAAAATTTCAGCACCGCATAGATGGACGTATAGGGTGTGGAGCAATTAACATACATACATACATACATACATACATACATACATACATACATACATACATACATACATACATACATACATACATACATACATACATACATACATACACACATACATACATACATACATACATACATACATACATACATAGATGCATACATACAAATATAGATAGATAGATAGATAGAGAGATAGATAGATAGATAGATATAAATAGATATAGATAGATAGATAGATAGATAGATAGATAGATAGATAGATAGACAGATAGATAGATAGATAGATAGATAGATAGATAGATAGATAGATAGATAGATAGATAGATAGATAGATAGATAGATAGATAGATAGATAGATAGATAGATAGATCAAGAGATCTTCCTGTGACCTCCAACGTGCTCTTTTTTTTCTTCTAAAATCAATATGTCGCGACAGATGTTGTAGCTCGTGGGCTTTTTCTCAACAGCCTTAAAGGTGAGTCATGACGACAAAAATAAAGAGGTTTGATAATAACAATTGAAGCCTCCTTCATGGTGAGCTCGCTCGGCAGTTGAAAGATCAAAGCAGATGAATGAGGCAGTAACAAAAATCCAGGCTTGTAACTTAGCAATACAAGCGAAAATTTTGAATCTGGTCTCAAGGCGCGTAAATTGTTGCGAATCTGCAGCGATAACGAGCAACTCTTATTTTCCAGCGGGCCCGTGCGGTTGTACAGCCACCCTTTTCAGAACATTCCGTCGAACTGCAGCCATCACTCACGGCTCGTGAAAGACGCCACCTTTGTAAATGAACGACCTCGTCAACACCAGCTGTCGCCGCCTTCCACGTACAGTGTTGCCGCGATCGCTACATCGACGCCTCTCTTTGTACGCAACAAAACGGCCGTTTCCCCCCCCCCCCCCCAAATAAATATACGTTTACGCGTATAGAAGCAAGCAGCCTACAGCTTACTTAGGCGTAGGCCGCACCTGCGTTGAATTATGTTGGTTGTTGTCCACTTTTAAAATTAAGTAGTTATGCGCTTATACAAGTCTTTAAAATTAAGTAGTTATGCGTTTATACTTTTAAAATTAAGTAGTTATGCGCGTATACAAGTCACCACGAAACCTCCTTTCCCATACTGAAATAATCAATATGTTGCTTACACTTTTTTGTACTTAGGTATAGCTTTGCGCATTGCATTTAACATGCAAGACGCACGCATTGAGTGTAAAAGGACACGACGACACCAAGGAAAGCAATACAAAAAAAAAAAGGTTCAACACAAATAAAAAACCGGAACCTAATGCTATGTGCAGTATGTATCAGTAATATGCAACTTGTCATAAATGTAGTATAGTTGTGCATTGCTCATTGTTTTTTTAGGTTGGTTTACGTTTTTTGAAGTATTGTACTCAGGAGATATCTGTAGTATATGTAGTTTTGAGTTTCCCTTTGTGCGGTGTGTACGTATTGGTGCATCCTTTGTCGCATGTCTGCTAACAGCCGTCCTATGCTAGCATTGCTTTACAAATAAATAAATAAATAAATAAATAAATAAATAAATAAATAAATAATAAATAAATAAATAAATAAATAAATAAATAAATAAATAAATCGGCACTAGTGGAAGCGACTATTCCGCACCACCAGCCACGCGCGTCCACTGCATGCGCTTTTTGGTCGCACCTAGACATCGAAAATTACGGTTACATGCCTTTACCGTTAACAACTGCACGACTGCAGAACGCTAAATACAGCAATTTCCACATCGCTACTCACTCAACCACACGACACGCCTTACTAACATATCGTTCCTGCAGGATAACAACATCTCCTCGAAAAGCCGTGGTACTTACGGCAAGCATCTATACTGTATACAACACACTAATACGGCGTCTGCCAACAGAGGTAAGGCCACCAACGTGCTCTAAACGACACAGCCCTCCGGCCCATCTACTTTATGACTGGCTCCCTATGCAGCCCCGCAGAAGGCAGCCATATCCCGCACTGCCTTGCTATACAACAGCTGTCGGTGCCACTTCAACCTAGCACACTTTCAGTATAGGGTGTTTGTTCACACGATCGTTCGTAAGTCTGCGAATAAAAGGGCACTGGGAGGTGTCAGGTCGAATGGCGCGGCAGTTTGCTCGTAATTGTGCGCAGGTGGCGCTGCGTTAGAATAGTTCCGAGACGTAATTCGGATCGCAAAAAAAAGGAGAAGTTACATATTGCGAGCATCGGTATCGTGACATTCGAAACACGTGGTGCCTCAGGTGCACCAATAGGCACCGGATGTTCATTACAACCTAGCTTCCGGCTAGTAAAAAATACGGCCGCAGCATGGACCTTGTTAAGGCCGATGGGATCTGCATATTTTATATAGGTAGGGCCGAGAACTTTTACGTGACATAACAAAATGCGTCGCTCTTTAATATGAAAAATAAGATAGGCTGTTAAGATGAAGCTTGCTACAAAACTAGTTAAAATGAAAAGCAGAAGACATGCATACAAGAAGGCAGTCTTTCATCTTTAACACTTGCGCTTTTAAGGCCTTCACTTCCACTTATATACCTGTCCTTGTTTGGCAGACAACGAGTGATGTAAAACCGTATTCGAAACTTAGCAAGACCGGGACGGCTCTTTGCTTTCCCATAGTAGAGAGCCAAGTACTCTAGTAAATCGTTAACCACGTTTTGTGAACACACAGGCCTTTCTGCGGTTGAGTACTCCAATTTGAAATGTTCACAATTTGTTGTAGACGCTAAGAATCCGCGTTGCATTAGTTAAGGTTATACAATATTCAGCGACAAGTCAGCCGTAAATTGAAAAGAAACGCGTTATAATTATATCTAAGCGCATTCAATTATCACGGCACGAGAAAACTCGATCACAAACTTACGATGAGCATAAACGCACACGCTTCTCCTGTACTCAAGAACACAGTCCCTTTCAATGATAACTGATTAATATTGACGGCAATGAGTCAACCTCACACGCGTCCACTGATTCGGAAGTTGCGAGTTGGATGCCTGCAGCTGCAGCGGCCGTATTTCGACGAAGCCAAAGTGCTAGAGGTCCGTGTGCTGTGCACGTTCAAGTAAATCAGATGGCCGAAATTCCCAAAACTCTTCACTACGGGCGTGTCTCATATTCCTATCGTGATGTTGTTCCGTAAAAATCCAGACACATTGTTATGCATGCACAGTAACGAAACCGTCGTCTTTGAATAAAAGGAGACATTCAAACACAGAATCTGTGTGAGCAAGTGCCTAATCCACTTGAAGTATGCAGCGACATAACGTTATTCGATATAGACTTTAAGATAATCAATTCAGCATAACTCTCGGGAGCACTTTTTGACACAAAAGTCGCTTAATTTCATTCAGTTTCACGCAGAAAGAACGAGCGCGTGTGTGGAAAGAGACAACATTCATAGCGATGAGCACGCACATCAGGAAAACACAATTATAGATAGATATCGAAGTTTAACGTCCCTAAAATACCATATGATTATGAGAGATGCCGTAGTGGAGGGCTCCGAAAACTCCGACCACCTGGGGTTTTTAATGTGCACCCGGATCTCAGCACACGGGCCTACAAAATTTCCGCCTCTATCAGAAATGCAGCCGCCTTAGCCGGGATTTGATCCCGCGACCTGCGGCTCAGCAGCCGAGTACCTTAGCCCCTATAGACTACCGCGGCGGGGCAGGAAAACGCAATGGGCCTGTTATTTCTGTATGACATGGCGTACTGTGCCGTAGCATTGCGAATGTTTTGTAATACACACTCGCATGTTTTTTTAACTGTATTTTCGGCCTGTCGGCCGTTGCAACACCCTTGCTTACAGATGACTGTAGGGTGAATAAAGGCTTTTCCTTCTTTTCCAGGCGAACTTATCAATTTCATAAGAGCAAAACGGCCGACTACCAATTGATGTGTTCGTTTTTGTTTGTTTGTTTGTTTGTTTGTTTGTTTGCTTCGATAAATGGCACATACCCACTTTGGGGGATTGGCCAAGAATGCGGCGTTAAGACTGTCAAATGCTATTTTAGGTAAAGTATGTGATTAAAAACCAGTAATTAAAAATTAAATGGCAAAATCACGAAAATATTCAATTGAAACTACAAGTATTATGTTTCTGAGATTGTAATTCAGGCTGCCGTATTAACCTGATGGGAAGAATTTCAAAAACTGAGGTTTTACTTTATTGATTAATGAGGTAAACCCATTTGCAACAGTTCGCGCTTCTTCTTTTGCTGCATATTCTACTACTACTACTACTACTACTACTACTACTACTACTACTACTACTACTACTACTAATAAAAATAATAATAATAATAATAATAATAACAGGAAGAAGGGGAAGTAGAAGATTATTAATATTATTTATAGCACAATATCTTCACAATAATGAACTTCAAGCACGGAACTGCGTGTGTATCATTGAGCAACTTGTTATGAAGATGAGAACTCTTCATCTTTAAACCGCGCACGCGCACAAACAGACGCGGAGGAATTGATGACACGAGTGCTTGTTTATTCGCGCGTGAGCACAGCTCGAAAATGAAGCTATTTACCGACCAGCCCACTTTGCTTCGCCGACAAAACAGGCAAAAAGAATGTTTATGATGACAACGTAGAAGCATCAAACATCACACCTCGTCCATTTGGAATCGCACCCCCCCCCCCCCCCCCCCGAATATACAATGGCCATGAACCATTCCTCCGGCCACAAATTTCCTTTATTATCTGTGGCGATTCCTTCGCTGTTTCTGATACGTACTGTTCGTACGGGGCTCAGAATTCGTTCCATCATCGAATTCTTTTCTCTTCTATCTATTTATTGCAGATCTAGCTTTGACGAAGTCTACTTTCGTTGCGCCCGCCTGGGTTATTTCCCCAATGGCCTTCGGGGCG